AAAAAAAAAAAAAAAGGCTGCAGCAACTTCGTGGACAAATAACATTTTGCGGTGGAGCTCGATGTGACTAAATGAAATTTGCTAATTTGCAGTTTGCTAAAACTGGGAGAAGATCACGTGTTATCCTGCGGTGCCAAAAAAGAGGGGAACAGGTACAGCACACGTGCTTCTTAACGCTGCTGAAAAAGAAAGACAAGAGGTTGAGGAGGATAATCAAGAAGAGGAGGGGGGGGGGGGTGGTTAATGTTTTGCTAAAACGAGAGGACAACTGTATCACTAGCGCTCATACAAATTAAGTTTTGCTAAAACAAGCTTCTCTTCACAAGGGATGTTACAGTAGTAGTAGGCTTCTTGCACTGCAAGGGGGGAGATCTTCCAGGCTTGTATTGCAAAGGGGGGGATCTTCCAGGTTTGCTAAAACTAGAGCAATCGAAGAGCACTCCTTTTCCTTGCCCTTTTGTCGAAAACAAGGCCAAATCAGTTCAGTTTTACTGAATCAGAGGATTATTCTGGAGTAATTCTGTCCATTGGATTAAAAATAGAATTATTTCACGGATGCAACACAGATCAGCGTTACGACATCCCTCTAATATATCCTCTTCAATTCTCTCTCTTTCTCTCTCTCTCTCTCTCTCTCTCTCTCACACACACACACACACACACACACAAGCACACACACACACACTTCCGTGTGCGTTTTTGCACGAGTGAGCGTGCTTGTCTCTGGCGAGGTACCCTCAGGAGAGCGCAGACAAATCACGACAAGCTTGAGGCGCGCGGTGGTGACAAGCGGAGCCTCGCAGAGGGACATGGCCATTGAGGAGGGCATGCGTCGGTCCCGAGTCAGCTTAAGGCCACCACACAGATTGACAGGCAAAGAAGATAAGTAGCCGTTTCTGCCCTGAGGGAGGGGTAAAGCAAATAGCAGCTGCGGGTTCCACATTCATCCACAATTTGTGAGGGAAAACGAGGCTGGAGTTTCGCAGACGACAACGAAATCGACAGGAACGTGCATCTCTTTTCCGGCGCCCGTGAAGCCGGTGCGAGAGAGAGAGAGAGAGAGAGAGAGAGAGAGAGAGAGAGAGAGAGAGAGAGAGAGGTGACGGATGTTTATCTACTTCCCGTCCGTCTCTCTGGACGTGATAGCATTTGCGCGGGTGAAAGAGCGAGAGTGAGACGGAGCGCAAGAGAGCGCCATGTCATCTGTTACCTGTGTTTCTGTAGAAGTCGGCGATCATTCGGAGAAGTACTCGTACATCGAGCCTGCCAGTGTGTAATTAGTGGGGTGATTTCACGGGCGGTTCAGGATCATTCAGTGTTGAGGCTTTCGCAATTGATATCACACGGATGTTGACGGGAATGAGAGCCAGGAGCAGAGTCGAGTTCGATCGTCGATTTCCCATCTCCGTAGGACAGATTCGTACTTAGTAGGTGGTGTTCTGTGTGCGTGTGTGTGCGCCATCCATAGGGACGGTCACATTAGACAGGAAGGGCTATCGTTATTCGAGTGCGAAGGGGGTGTGTGTGGGGGGGGGGGGTTGGGGTTAAGTCAATCGTTGCCTGTTGTGTTGTTGTGCAAGTTTAGGGAGCCGAAGCATTCACGTAAGTACACACACGTTACTCTTTGTTTCTCTCTCAGCGTCGGAGAGGATCTGTTTTAAGCAAATCCTTCTCCTGATCAGGCATCCTTATTCGGGGCGGGGGGGTAATGGGTCAATCGGGTTCGACGGGAGGGAACCCCGTGGCTCAAAACAACACGTGGTCAAATGCGACGCCACGTGGCAATGGCGGGGCAGCGGTCGTTGGCGATTACGCGCGCATTCCTGATCTATACAAGACCCCCGCCGACGTCGAGGCTGCGCTACGCAATGCCGGGCTGCACAACAGCAACCTCATCCTGGGCTTCGACTTCAGTAAGAGCAATGTGACGCAAGGACGATCGTCCTTCGGCGGCCGCTGCCTCCATGCTGTCAATCAGGGCGATCCTAATCCATACATGCGCGCCGTTGCCATCATCGGCGAGACGCTGAGCCGATTAGACAACGACAATAAGATTCCATGCTACGGCTTTGGAGATGCCACGACCCGCGATCACGATGTCTTCAGCTTCTACCCCGACTTCCGGGACTGCAACGGCTTCGAAGAGGCATTGAGAAGGTACCAGGAGATAGCACCCCACGCGGTCTTGTCGGAGCCGACCTCCTTCGCTCCCATCATAGAGATGGCGATCTCCACCGTCGAGCAGAACGGCGGCAGTTATCACATTCTGCTGATCCTAGCCGACGGCAACGTGACGTCAGATCCTTCCAATCCCAGCCGACTGAGCAGACAGGAGGAGGCCACCATATCTGCAATCGTGCGAGCTTCGGAGTACGCGCTATCGATCGTCGTGGTGGGAGTGGGCGACGGTCCGTGGGACAGAATGCGGCAGTACGACGACAACATTCCGTCGCGCATGTTCGACAACCTGCAGTTCGTGAATTTCACAGAGATCATGTCGATGGCGCTGACGCAGAAGCAGAAAGACATGAGATTCGCGGTGGCGGCGCTGATGGAAGTGCCGACGCAGTACAAGGTCGCAAAGCAGTTGGGATACATTGGCCGGCGGACGGGTACAGCGCCGGAACGAACCCCGCTTCCGCCGCCGCCGTCTGTCATCGCTGCGGACCGCGGGGCCATCAATCGGCCCCGGCCGCCGTACGCGATGCCGTACGGTCCGTACGGACCGGGGGCGCAGTCGTCGGCGCCGGTGGCGCTGCCTTCGTTTTCTGCTTCGAACCGCGCAACGCACAGCGCCGCCGCGCGCAGACCGAGCGACGTCATCCTCACTGTTCCCGCCGATTCCACCAGAAACGCCTACCCTCATCCCCCCGCTTCCGCTGCTGCTCAGTATTCCCGCGCTCCTGCTACAACGGTCACATCGTCTGCGCCCGCGGGGGGCGAAAAGTGCGCCATTTGCTGGGAAAGGAAACTGGAATACGTCTTCAACTGTGGCCACCGCGCTTGCGAGCGTTGTGCAAAAGCCATCCCAAGCCGGTGCCATGTTTGCCGCACGCTGATCACTGCCCGCATTAAAATGTATTAAGTAGTAATCCTGTTCTTCTATGTTTTTACTCTGTTGAGTCTTTTTTGCCCTTTCTCCCCCCTTAATTATATCGTGTTGAAAGAACACAAAACCTCGTTGTTCTGGAAACAGCAGCCTGTCCGGCCCAGGCTGGCCCCGTGCGTGCGTGGTTTCAGATCTCTCTGCTCCTCATTAGCGCCCTCCCCCCTCTTTTTTTTCTTTTCTTTCTTTTCTTCTTTTTCAATGGCTACTGATCCTATTCTTCTCTTTTGATTTATTTATTTTTCCTTACAGCACAGTACTACTGCCTTCGGCCGCTGCCACAGACAGATTTCTCCGCCGCCTCTCTCTCTCTCTCTCTCTTTTGCCCCTTCAATCCGGAGTTCCACCGCTCTTTCTCGGCCGGCACGACGAGCGAGAGAGATGGGTCAGCTGAGAGAGAACCACGCAAAAGAGAGACACAGAGAGAGAGAGAGAGAGAGAGAGAGAGAGAAGGGGGAAGAGATCTTCAAAGAAAGGGCGTTTGATCTCTCGCAGAAAAAGAAAGATGGAGGTGTCGGTGTTGACCTTTTCTGAGCGAGATCAGTTGATCACGCTACTTGTTTCCCTGTTTGAAACCAAGGAGGGAATAAAAAAAAAAAGAAAAGTGGATGGTCCTCGCTCGTTTTGGAAGGAACAGCTTCTCCGCTGCAATGGGATCGTCGTAGAACGGTGTACAGCTCTGCGTCCGTCCTGGCCTCACGGGCTGCCTGCCACGTTGGCCGTGTGGCTCCCTACAGCTTTTTTTTGCTTTTTGTTTTTCTGTTTTTTGCTTTCTGAAGCTGCTGTTTCTTCTTCAAGTTGCTTCAGAATCAGAATCTGTCTTTCGAAAAGTAGTCTTTTTTTTTTCTTGTCAAATTGTTCTTCGAGGACATCCGTTAAAAATTGAAGAAAATTGAAGCGCTACAGAGAAAGAAGATTTTTTTTTTTTTTTTTTTCCAAAAAAGAAAGAAGATTAGCACGGGCCCTGCGCAAGGAGGACACGCAGAAATCGTAAATCGAGAAGTGTTTTTTTTTGTCGTATGCCTTGCCTTCAGGATGTCAATAGACGAGTTATGCAGAACTCTCATTCTCTTTTTTGCGCAACTCTTTTTCATTCCCCCTCCCCCC